TGTGAGATGTCTATAAATAGAGCCTTATTGTGAAGATATAGAACCTTACACTTTCAAAAATTCCTTAAAAATCTGAGAGTTTCAGAACCCTATCTTCTATTCTTCTTTGTCTTTTTCATCTTTTTCCTTTCTTTTTGATTGAGATGGGGCTTGTATGTTACAACAAAAGCCACATTTCTCAAGGTGTTCATTTACTACGCAGTCAAAGAAGGAAACCACAAATCTAAACCTATTGCAGCTCAAGTGTGCATTTAATGACTCTATTCATTTGAGAACTGTGAAGAGTTGAGGTTCCAATCATATTGAATGAGAGAGAATTGTGCTGTTGCCAAGATTCTTTAAATTATGGCTCCAAAATCCACTAAGAGTTGGTTGATACCTTCAACTTTTACAAAGTGATCTAGGCACAAATGCCGCTCTTTTGCCCACATCTAGTTGTTCTGTATATGAAGTAAAACAGGTTATCATGGTCGATAACTTTGTTTCACCATTTATTTACCATATTAGCATATAAAGATGGATTTGTGCAACTTTTTGGAATTAGAATTCGGATGTTAGGATTTGAGAACAAATTCAAAACTGGAAGAGTAGGTACTGTTTTGCCACATGTAAGGATAAGTGGCTGATTGTGACTGACCAAAGTTTGGAAATGCAGAGTGCAATGTCAAATTGAGCATCGATTTTTGGCAATGGATAACTATCAATTGGGCAGGCTGAGTTCAAGTTAGTAAAATCTACACCTGTCTTTTGTAATTTGATTTTTGCACATAGCTACATAAGTAACCCAGTATGGATATTTTACTTCTCAATTGTAACCTGCCTCGAGCAACTTTTGCATTTCCTGGCAAAACAATCTGCCAATATAGTAGTGACTTGTCTAATTTTCCCCTTAATCGACAATCTCTCGGGCCGATGTTCAACTTATGATTGGCTACATCAAAACCGACTTGTCTAATTTTCCCACAATCTCTCAGGCCGATGTTCAACTTATGATTGGCTACATCAAAACTTTCTCCTAGTACCTTGTTTGTTGATGAGGCAAGTACATTATAATACTCACGAAAGTGGATATTAATTTTTTTTTCCACTCAGAATCAAAAGCCATACTCAATCGAAATGTTCTGCTTGACACAACTTCTTAAATGGTGATCCTCAAGAGCTTCAGCAATTTCGAATCCACTGCTTCTCTGCATGCTGAGTTGGCGACTTTTCTAGGCACATTTTCTATGGCCTTCAAATAATAGGCTCTCAACTATAAAAAATTTCTGTTAGTTGTCATTTCCTGTCCGCCCTTGGAAAACTTCACAAGGACTTGGAGAAAACAACTCAAAAAATATTTAATAACAGTCGACCAAGTATGGCATTGTAAATTATTGACATGTCTATCATGACAAGAATGGACATGGCCATGAATTGTTTTATTCCTTCACCCTAGGTAATTTTTAGGGTGATAACTTCTAAAGTTTTTTCTTGCTCTCCAGAAAAAGTGAAAAATGCCTCTGATGTTGACAAAATGAGAATACCATATATTTGTTTTCATATAGCCACTTCTAAAGAGGATGTTTACAAAACTCTTAGTGTTTATTAATACATTCTCGAACTCTAATGTTTCTGATTAACACTGTGACAACAATTGTATTACTGTACAAATTTTTCCCATTAACGGGGAAGTCTGCTTGAGTAAATGTGATCGGTAGTAGGTTGAACACTGGTGATTGAGAAGAACTAGCTAAGTTTATCTCTCCTTACTGAAGTCATATGACCGAAGAGAAGCTTCTGGAAAAGCTCCTCCGTGTATGACAGGGACAACCCCGGCGATATGAATAGTTAGAGAAGGCATGAACTCATTCTTGGTTTCTTCAACCATTAATTTCCCCTGTCACACGGTGTTCGCTTGTGGCCCGACAAACTTAAACTTTTTAGCCTAGCCAAGTTCTTTGATGAAGTTTCTAAGATGTCAAAACTCTTTGGTCTTGTGCTCATAGTCTCAATTATAAGCATAGTATTCCTTTATGTCACACAGGTGACTACTAGCTTTTATTGGTGCCAGCTTCCAAAAATACTTATCATGAATGGCTTTAACTAACTCAATCACGGTGGCTTGCAATAGAGTCACAACAAATGAGGTGTGGTAAACTTCTCTCTACTTGGCTGTCACCATGTCTCAATTTCAAAATGCTCTCGCCCCTCAAAAGGAAGAATTTGGCTTTTATCAAAACTCTTTTTTCTAAACCCACGCTCTATGGGACAACTTTCTTGTTTGGGGCTCGATGATAACCTCCTTGTGGATGATGTTACTCCGTTCTCTTCAATTCTAAGGTATTTAGCAAAAAATTGTACTCCTCGGTAGAAATATGATTGCTAGCCAATTTTAACAACTCATAGGGATGCTTGGACGGTGTAGCCTATGGGCATATAGAATGAACTTTCTCTTAGGCTATAGGCCACATTAGCAACAATGGCTCAAGATCTTTCACATCCATCTTCTCCTTCTTGAAATGTGTAAAAACTGGTTCCTAGCACATTTGTAGAAGAACTTGTGAATTCTTTTATGGCATGTGTGTTGGCGAATTGCAAGATAAAGATGTACTTGAACTCGACATTGGAGGTGATCACTTCTTGATCCAAATGAGTGAACCACTGGAGGTCCAATTCTTTAAAAGTCATGAAATGATACGACACTTCAACGTGTCATTTATTTTTAACAAAAAAGCTACTTATCCGGATGAAGCTACATGGTCTGTAAGGTTAGATTTCCTTTGTAGCATTCGAGATTGGAATCATGAATTTATTTGGAGCTTCAACTTCCGTAATCTCTCTAAAGAATACATTCTATGACTTCCTCTTCGCGATGAATTGTCTCCTTTTATATTGATTGGTGGGGGAATAATCTTTACTATCAGGAAATAAGTTTCATCTTCCTCTAACAGAGTAGAGGGTAATGACCTATGCGCCATACTAGCTGACACCCTTTTACTTATATGAACTATCAATTCTGAAGAACCAACTGGCATCTCAATTCGAGGTGTCACTCGTAGCACATGCTTTAATTAAACTCATATTTCTCCCCCAAATTCTTGAAAATCACTCCGACAAAGAGAATGGGAGTGTGCAAGGAATGTATCGACAGATCACGATGGAATCATGATGGGGTCATGACAAAGAAGAGGGGCTCTTTGTCAGAGTTTTTGTTCGAAACCTTCATTTGCTTTCCACTTCTGAACCTGCCTGAAACCTTGAGGACAAGGAGCATGGAATTTTTGATGGGTGCTTTTAGGCAAAATCATCTATGAGTTGCCTCATCTTTCTACCTTGTTTGCACCTTTCCTTTTTGCTAAATACCCTGAATTTGCTAGATTCTTGATTTTAGTAAATCCAAGATTTAGGCCCCAATAGAGATAAAATGAGATTTAAGATTCTATAGGGTTTAAAATATATATTTTGACCATTAGGCGGGATTAGGAGCAAGGTTTGAACAAGATTTGAACAAGATTTAATTATAATTTTGTTAAAATGGGAAAATGTCAATTTTACATCATATGGAATCGAACAAGATTTAATTATAATTTTGTTGAAATGGGAAAATGTCAATTTTACATCATATGGAATCTTGAATTTCTTTTCTTTGTTGTTTTGTGTCATGCCCCTATATCTTTGATTTAGCAAATCTTGGTATTGGATTGATTTTATTTCACAAATTCTTGTTCTTCTTCACATTCCATTGGTGCCATTGACGCCTTCTTCTCCGACATTGCAACTTTTTCATTTCATTGTTTGTTATTGAGGGTTTTGAGAATTTAGGGGATTGGAGATTTGGCGGAAAAACATGTGAGTTTTTTATTTGAAAATTATTAACATTACACAAAATTAATTAAATAAGATATGTTAATTTATCATTAAATTAATTTTAATAATTAATATATTAGTTTTTACAAAATTTATATTTAATTACTTTTGTTAACTTCTAATTAAAGAATAATTCTGATATTAATTTCCACGCATTCTAATTTAATTAACACACATGCACACATAGACATCTATAATGTGTCAATTTAAAAATAATTTAATTTTTAATAAATATTTTTTATTAGTTAAAAGTATATTAACTTCCGTAAATCGTATCATTTTTAATTTATAATTTAATTTTATCTAAATAGAAGTTGTTATTTAATTTGTCATTAAATTACTAATTAATGCTTAATGAAAATATTTACTTATGCTAATTATAGTGTAATTAAATGTGATGTAAGCTAAATAAGCGAACAAAATATCACAATCACATGAATCCTTAAAATTGAAATGAGTAACCGAACAGTTTTTTTGGATTTAACACCTATTATATTAAAAAAAAATTTCTTTTAACCAACATATGATTTATTAAATCTAGATATACAGGATCTACTAAAATATACTTGAGTTAAATCCTACTTACAGCCAAATTGAGGCACCATAAAAATGATGAGAATACCCAAACTTAAAAATGGATGGATATCTTCACTGCTTCTGAATGCTTGCTTTAGTTTGTATGTCGAATATTTGATTCTGTATACAAATTGCATGACAGACTATGTAGAATATTTGATTCTGTATACAAATTGCATGACAGACTAAGGATACGTAACCACCGCGACTGTTACATTAGATTATTTGTGGCTGCTTTTGAAGAGATTGGGATGATTAATGGTGCCTCTTGCAGACTTGGCTTGGACCGTAGAATAGAGGATTTAACATCATTTTGATTACCTGCTTCATAGTTAGAATTTCAATTGCTTAATTGTCACTTATGCTAATTTGATGGATTATTTGCTACATTAAGTTGGAAATTTTTAATCAATCTTGAGGTTGGGAAAACTAAATTTTGGGAATTATAGCAGGGCAATAACTCTTTGTAGCTCCCTATTTTGAATTGTACAAGATACCTTCCTTGTTTATTTTCAAAATTTATAACTTAAAATAACGTTTTTAATTCTCTAATACTTTAATCATATTTTGGTTGGTAGCATCGTTATTATGGGGAGTCTATGCCCTTCGGCAGCAGAGAGGAAGCATACAAGGATGCCAAGTCTTTGTCATACCTTACGACTGAGCAAGCAATTGCCGATTTTGCTACGTTGATCATTGATTTGAAGCGAAATTTGTCAGCTGAAGACAGCCCAGTTGTTCTGTTTGGTGGCTCCTATGGTGGAAGTAAGATTTTGACATTACTATTTCTAACCTAGCATTACTAGTGCAGGAAAAAGGAGTCATCAAGAAAGAAACAAAGAATGGTCACCTTTTTCACACAATTTCTTCAACCTAAAATCTAAATTTGCATATTCTTAAATTAACTCTGACACAACTAGAAGAATTATGTTCTTAATAACGAAAAATGGAATTAGTTTCTTAGTTTTACATGACATTCCAGCGATCAATCTACATTTAAATTTGGTCAGTTTGAGTTGATGGATGATTCATGCTGTCAAAGTGATGCTTTGTTTGTAAATTTATGATGACCGTTTAATTCCTAGACTCATACTTTCATACAAGCAAATCACTATGTTGCAAGTAGTCCATTATTGACTTGCTATGACATCACTTAGTTTTATTCCATCTTCATTGACAAAAAACAATCCAGTCATGCTGAACATAAAGTACACTGTCAAACTGATTGATCTGACTTAAATGCAGCACCAATTATGAGTGGTATGGTAGTTTTTTTTGTCCCTTGTATGATACCATTTCATATGAATTGATTTGATAAAAAAATTTCACTCGGGTCTCGTTGGTCCATGTATACAAAAATTTTGTCAATGATCGAGCTATTATTGTTAACTTGTGAATCTAATTCCATAATCAATTAGGAATTCTTAAACATCAAATTCCTTAAAAAAAATTTAGGTTAGTGATAGCATTTGTGCAATCATTGTTTACCCTTCTGGAGATTTGTAAACTTTCTTTTCTACTAAGCCAATTTAATAGCTGGCTCAAAAGATTTCACGTGTTAGGATGTGGATCCTAAATTGCCTAATCAAGGATCTAGAGTGTGGTTTTTCTATTTTCAATTCCTTGACAAATTTTCTTTCTAGATTTTTAAGCCAAATGTAAAATATTTTAGTTAAGATCAAATCTAAAATTACATTAAAACTCTGAAAACAAATCTAAGAGGATTTGTTTCTAAAATAATTCCAAATTTCAAAAACAAGAAGCTGTGCGCATGACTTCGAAAGATATCTCAAAGTTTACATGCATAGGATATGAATTGCTTGGCTTTTTGGATTGTCTTGTTGTCCCTTGGAAGTTGAGGAAAGCATCGAATAAGCTTTGATAAGTTGACGGTGGTTGTGAAGGAGGATTTTAACTATTGAGGAGTGGCGGTCGTTGCTGCTGCTTTCATCAAGGCGGTCGTCACATTTTCTTGTTGATGGCTGGTGATGTAGTGGACATCTTAGGGTATAGGATTTCTAATACAACTAAATGATACAATAAATGAAAATCAGATAGATAAGATTTAAAGTTTGTCGTTTCAAAGACTATCACTTTCAACAAACACAACTTATTGTAGCATAAACTATAAAATTGGTGAAATCTACTTCAAATAATAAATTTATTATTGCTTAAATAAAAAACATCAGTTAGGAAATTAAAAATATAGAAGAAACACATCTCATTTAATATTTATGTACCGATAATAAAATCAGTTGCGACAGTTACGACTAAAAAAAATTGCAAATTAATATTGAATTATGTAGATGACAGGAGAACAAGGTATGAGACGCAAACATACAAATATAAGCCTTACTTTCTATTAGGAGATTGCTTCTCTTGAAAATTTTTAGCCTCTCTTAGACTACTCAGAATCTATCAAATTACAAGCAAGCAGAGAAAAATTGAGAAGAAATTTAAATTTCATTGAGCAAATGCTCTTATTAAATGCCTTTGTTTATGCAATTCAGAAACATAGAAAATCCCTAGGATCAGTGGTCTTTGGAATTTTTCTCAGAGCATAAAATTTGGATCTTCAATTACTGAAATCCTATGACCAAGAAACAACATAATAAGTCCATCCTATTAAAAGAGAGCAGCTAAGGTGAGTAGTGGCAGAGAAAAAGCACAGGCTATTTAGGCAAATAGCAGCAAAAGATTGACATAAGAATAGGTAGATCATGTGATTAGGAAAATAGTTGGAATCATATGAGTTGAGTAGCTAATGGAACAAAACTTTAAGAACTGATAACTAGCAACCAATTGAACTAAGAAAAAAAATTTGGACAACTACATCAAACCCAAGTAAACAGAACGAAAGTAATGAATTGAAATAATATATAAGACATCCCATTCTTAGGTATGTTTAAACAAATATACCTATAATAAAGTCAAAACTATGAAATAGACAACTGCAAAATTTCAAAAAAACAAATTAGCAATTTGCTAATCTTCTCTCTAAGCATATGCTTACATTCCAGAGAGCATAGACGCTTAGATCTTCAACATATTTGTCCAACTTGAAAAAAAATTAATTTGTCAAAATTAGCATTTGATACCCATGTAACAAATCAGGAAATAACTGTTGTGCTTCCTGCAATGTTATCCATAAATTATCACATAAAGGTTTGCCATGCTAATGTACAAAATGTATAAAAAATTAACCATTAGTAGTGGAGACAATTTTGGTATCTAGAATTGCATTAGGAACTAGGAATGTTAAATTGTCATCAGATTAATGAGCACGCATACAATTCATTCCATAACAAGTCTGGGCCTATTTGAAATTTTGTCAAGGCTTTAACCTAAAAAGCTAATAGATCTCATTGAACTTTCTTCTCAAATTTTGTTACTAGATTTTCAAGCCTTTTAAATCTGGATAAGATTTGTTAAGATGGAACCTGTGGTCACTTCAAATTTGTTTTTTATAATTGAACAAATGGGTCTAAAATCATTTCCTTTGTTCAATTATAAATAGGCTATAAACAAGAAGTTGAACGCATGACTTTAGAATATCTCTCATGTTACATGCTGATGTGGCAAATTGCATCATATTGTTGTCTTCTAGTGTCTTGAATACTGAAGAAGCCATAGCTTTGATAGTCTTTAGTGGACTCATAGGAGTTTGAAAACTTTTGAGGTGTAATAACCTATAATAAAATAAAATAAAATAAAATAAATAAATAAATAATTTAAATCTATGTCGGTTCAAACCAATCGTCATCTTGATTGTTTTTTCTCAAGTATTAGGCATCTAGTTCAAATTGGGAAGGGAAGAAGAGACAGAGAGCGAGAGAAGAATCCTGAGAAATAGAAAGAGTTAAATAGAGAAGAAGGAAGAAGTGAAAGAACTCATGTCATCTAGGACAAGAAGCTAATGCTTTTTACTGAAGGATTTGAAGCCACGACGTGAAGCACCAATATCAATGTCACTTCAAGGACGAAGCCTTTGAGCACTGCGTGCATTTTGTGTGAAGGAGAAGAAAGTAAGACGGGCCTTTCATGGGACAAAGTTAAGAGTTCTCAATGTCGAAGGAAGGAGGCCGAGTGGACTCTCATGCTGGAGGCTTGAACCCTAATCAAACTAAAGGGAAGAGGAGTCGTGCCCTAGCCGAGTGAAGGAAGAAGAAAGAGAAGAAGTGCTTGTGTATTCCTGAGAGCAACGGAAGAAAAGAATGATGAGAGCCTTGCGAGCACGTTCAAAGCCTTGTGTTGTGCGAAGAAGAGGAGAGCAAGTGGGGTGAATGAAACCTAGTGTGCGGAAGAGGACGAACCTGCATGGATCTAAACCGAACCGAGCAACTTCGGGTGATAGGGTTGTCGGCGCTTAAAATGGGAAAAAGTTAAGGTTTGGGGGTCGCCCGTAAGAAGCTGTCGGCAGCCGGAATCGAAATCCCGTCAAGGACGAACCTGCATGGATCTAAACCGAATCGAGCAACTTCGGGTGATAGGGTACTCGTGCCTTATCAAATAGAAAAGTGGAAGGGAGGAATGAGCCTAGTGTGCAGGCAAGCAGACCTTGCACGGGGAGGAAGGAGGTGAAGGGGCTAAGTTGAAGGTAATGTTAGCTTATATGCTATTTATATAGGTTATTTTGTTTAATTTATTAACAATTATTCAATTATTTTAAGTTTTATAAATTAATATTATTGATTAAAATTGGGCAAACAATCAAATTAAAAGCTTGGGAGTGACCGAGATCGAGCGATTAGTTTGAGCTGGTTAAAGTTTTAAATAGATACTTTTAAGGCAATTTGATATAAATTAAGAATAATAATAATAATAATAATAATTGAATTTATAAATTAGATTATGTATTAATTAGGAAATAGAGTTAAATGTTAATGACTTAATGGTTAAGATTATGAATAAATTTATGTGAAAGTTACATACACACCACACAATTCTTATGCATTTACATCTCACGCCTAAAATTTCATTTCACACATAGCATTTATAGATTAGAAGATGAATTTGACAATTAAAAAGTGATAATAAGTGTTTTTTTTATATGGTGCTTGTAAATATGAAAGTTTTTGTGTGAGATGGGTAAATCCATAAGAATTAGGTGCTATGTATGTAAATGCCCCTAAATTTATTTAAGGTCAATTTTCATAATATTTAGAAATCTGTTAACAATTAAATTGATAGAATTCTAAATATTAATGAGAATCATTATAATGAAATTATGATAAGATAATTAATATCATATTAATAGTAGATAAATAATAAGATTGTTTGAAGAAATAGATTGTATGATTTAAAATAAAATTGTGATTTTTTTATATAACACATTAAAGGTAAAATAATGACATTTTTTAATAGTAAAATTAGATATAATAAATTAACAATAATTTTTTGCACATTCTATTATAGGTTTTCATTGGAGTAAAGTTAATGTAACACTTGAGCAAAGAGATCACTGAGCTCAATGTGAGTACACTTATTTTTTATCTATGATAGGATTTTTATTTTGTTTTTCAACCAGTTTTATTGGTAGTTACAGATACCTGAAAATCCACTTGCATAGTTTTTTTTTTTGTTTTATATGTTCTTTTTCTTATTGGTCGCATTTTCATGAATGATTAACAATAATTATTATCAATCATAAATTTAATGATATATTTATAGAATTGATTGAGATGAACATATGAATGATATGAACTATATATTATATGCTTGCATGTGCATTATATGCTTGCATTTGCATGATTATGATGAGCATA